TTTTTTTTTTAAAAGCTTTAATCAAAGTTTTGGGTTTTTTTTTTGGAGGTGACAAATTAAAAATTGGTTTTATATTGTGTCAAATAAGTAGATTATTGCATTTAATAACTTGGTATAATTTTTTTTGTTCTGAATTATTGAGAGCTGTGTAGATCACTACTGAGCACTGAACTGGCATTTCACAGAGCCAGATATTGTGGCATTTAGTCCTACCCTTTGTTTCCTAAATTTCAGTTAATTTTTTGTCTAGTTTAGGATTTTTGTTTTTATCCCAAGCAGTTTGCTTTCTCTAAAAGCCCTTAAAAAGGAGTGTTGTGACATGCTTTTTGGAAATGCAGTTAGGTTGTATCAGCCAGACGCTATGTGTGTGTGTGCGCATGCACTGAAACTTTGGAAGACCTCAGCAGGTTTGTGAGGTGGAATTGCTTTCACAATAGCAATGTTCGCTCTTCCCCAGTTACTTACTCATTTGCCTGTTGACCCTGTTATACAACCAACTTGCCTAGTGCATATATAAGGCACTGAGATTTGTCAATTAAATATTAAAATTTTAGTCTCTTATTTTTTTAATTTCTGTATTGTCTTTTTTCTTTAGGCAAGCTGTGGAGTCGAAGCTTGAAGTTAGCATATACCCTGCTAAACAAACTAACCACCAAGAACGAACCACTGCTGAAGCCTGGAGACCGGGTAGGCTCCTGTTTGAAAAGGTCTCTATGGATAAAATAGACAGTGAGGAACAGCTTTAGCTAAAGAAAGCCTTGTAGTGCTGTGACTTGTAATAGTATATTATCGCAACATTTAGTATTTCTGTTCCTAGTTTAAATATGAACCTGAACATTGTGAAGATTTTTCTCCATAAACTAAAAGGCAGCCCTCCCTCCACAAACAACGACAAAAAACATTTATTATTTTAATGTATTTTTGTAGGTAGCTCTTGTATTTCCTAATAGTGATCCAGTTATGTTTATGGTGGCATTTTATGGATGTCTCCTGGCGGAACTTATTCCTGTCCCAATAGAAGTTCCACTAACAAGAAAGGTAGGCAAATACATTCAACGTGTTTATGGTTTTGTAAATAAATAAACTGGGTGGGTGTCTAAATCCTGTAGTCCTTATACGGGACCCCTCAGAGCCTGCACTTTTGAAAGCAGTGTGGTGCATCAGCTGAACTACTTAGTGCACATTATATGCTTGGAAAGTGTTTAATACTTAGCTAGGAAAGGGGGGAAATAGTATGAAGCTAGTAAGTTAACTATTTTAGGTTACGTAATTGTAGAAATTCTTTTAATTCCCTATTTTTGAAAAGATGTGTGAAAGTATTTCGCAAAACATAACACAGAAATGCTGTCTTTTCAGCTTTCATGCTGAGTAATGAGAGCACAGGCAGGTGGGGACCCATAGTTACTGGAAATTCCAGTATAATCCCACATATATTGAGACTATTAGGGAAGAGCTGAAAAGCTATAGGCTCTGCTTTTCAGTGCCTCAGGACTCAGAAACAGCATCAAACCACCTCTCTGTTTTACCAGAACTTATAAATGTCCCTGTTGAGTTAGAGAGGGATGCAAAGCCATTGCTTTTCAATACTATTTTGCTACCATTGCTTGCCAGATCTACTGGCAAATCTAACTTACTTGGCACTAAGCAAAACTAAGCCTTTTGAGTGTAGACTTCAGTCTTTTGTCTTCCATAAAAGGTTTTATGGGCTAGAAATTTGTTTTTTCCTGTGATATAAATTGGCTTAATATTTTCTAAACATGCAAAAGTTATGGTAAATTGTACAAAAGCTTTGTTATTTGTAAGTTTGCTGCAACATCGTTTCTCTATAGGATGCTGGCAGCCAGCAAGTTGGATTTCTTTTGGGCAGCTGTGGAGTAACACTAGCTTTAACCACTGATGCCTGTCAAAAAGGCCTTCCTAAAGCTCAGACTGGCGAGGTGGTCACATTCAAAGGTATGTTTTTAAGCTACTCAAATGTCTTCATAGGATAAAGGGTAGATATATCCATTGCTGCTATTAAACAACAGTCTTTGAGTTTGCTTGCATGCTTCTAGCTTACATATAAAGAACTGCCTTCATTGTCAAGACAGTACTTAGTGCTGCTTCTTCCTGTCAGGGTGATGGTGCTGCAGCTTTTGCTTGCCTCCTGTTGTTATCTCCGAAAACTGGGGAAAAAACCCTGATTTTTGGAACTGTAATGACAGTAACTTTTCTTTTTCTTTGAAGGCTGGCCTCGTCTCATTTGGTTTGTGATTGATGGGAAGCATCTGGCAAAACCGACGAAGGACTGGCATCCGCAAGTACGGGATGCCAGTGCTGAGATTGCTTACATTGAGGTGACACAGTATAATATGCCTAACTTATGATTACTCTATTGTAGTTGTATGTCACGGCATGTTTTCTTCTTTTAATCCCTTGATGCAGTAAAAAAGATTACTACAGTATTTTCAACCGTGGAACAAGAATGCTTCCCTCGAGGTTGTCAGGCAAACTGTCATTTGAGTGGTTGTGCTGAGTCAGACTGAAGATTGGGGTTAATTGGCGTTTTGGGATCCCTGGGACAATTTATTTAATTGGGGTAGAGAAACAGTCAGATTTCATATGATATGAGTGTATTCTCTGAATATAAATGCATCTTTTATGTTAGCTTTTTTATTTTCTTTTCCAAAAAGTTTGCTTAATTTTCATAACAGAATACCCTTTCCGTTCACTACTGTAAATTTTCTACATTTTGTTGTTAATCTAATGCTTGTATAAACTTTCTCTTTTCAGTACAAAACAAGTAAGGAGGGCAGCACAGTGGGCATTACTATATCTCATGCTTCCATGCTGGCACACTGTCATGCATTGACTCAGGCATGTGGTTATTCAGAAGGTAAGTTAGATAGGTACAACTTTAAAATGATATTCATAGCTTTGACTATTCAAACAATTTATGCTGTAAAATCATGCTTACTGTCTTAAAATGACTCGGTAATTTAAATTGCAAAGGGAAAGACAAAATTCCTAATCAATGTGATATGTGAAGGAAAGTAAGAAGCCACTTGTGAAATCATAATCAATGTGTATTTTTTTAACCTAAGATCCATATTGATTTTATTCAAGGGTTTGGATTTTCCAGTCTTCATAAATTTGTTGGTTGGTGGTAAGAGTTATACTGATTTTTCATCCTCTTGAAAACAGCTTTGCTGTGAATTTGTTTTGCCCTCCCTAATGCCTTTTGAATGCACTGGACACTTTATGAAGTCATAAGGGGGCCAGTTTGAGAGGCCCACGTGTAAAGTTAGAGGAGCTGTACTAGCAGAAATTAAGGGAGCTTTCTTAGACTGATTCTAGAGATTATTTGGGTCATTTGGACCTCTTTGAAGAGCTTTGGATGCTGCCAGTTCCAGTTGTAGCTGCTCTAACAGTGCAGACTGGTGTGCTGTGCAGACAGGCTGGTGTCAGTTGTGCAGCTTCTTATCAGGAGAAAAGGGAAAGTCTTTTGAAGTCTTGACTTGAAACTCAGTAATGACTAGGTGAGATGTAATATGCATCCTTACAACTCTTCAACTTTGTTATTCCTAGGAGTGTGACACTTGACCCGTGAAAGAGAGGGTTAATCAAGAAATCTTGACAGTTACCATTTTAAAAAACAACCCAACTTAACTTGACTTTACTGCTTTTGCACGTTTGATGACCCTGCCTGCCTAGATCACAAAGTTAAAAGTCCTAGTGCAAGTCGTCTGGCCCAATTACTTGAAGTAGGTCTGTGATTCTAGTTAGCGCATTTGAGGGCACGAGCAGATTGCTAATAGTTGCTAACTATCCTCTCTTGCACTTATTTTTTTTCCTTTCTCCTTTGGGCAATTGGTTTATGCCTGTAGTGCTCCAAAGTCCACACAAATAGTATGATAGTATAAAAGAGGATTTCACAGTCAGATACCTGTACTCTTTTTAGTTATCATCAAAGAGGGCCATTTCCCATTTTCATTTCAGGACATCCCATGACAGCTACCAACTACATGGACTGTGCTGGGAGAGGGGAGGGTGGATCCAGCTCGTAGCTAAAGGATTGTACAGCAGTTCCTGAATCCTGAAAGGATGATGGCAACCAATTATGGATTGAAAGGGTCTACACATGTTAATTTTCAGACAAATGTGGAGTAGTGTTGCTAGCCATTAACATTTCAGATCTTCATGGAGGGTGCTGAATTCTCTTGTCCTCTTGTATGTTCGTTTTTCAAATTTCTATTGCCGCATGCTAGAGGTGCTGTCACGAGGTTTGCGTTCTGTATAGACCATACCATACCCAGCATAAAGTTTTGCCTTCTGCTTTGTTCATAGCTTCCTGCAGCTTCACAATTTTGGCCACAGTAGTTTCTATTTTCAGAAAGGCAGGGATCTTCCTCGTAGTTAATCATATCCTACAAAAGAACATCTCCATAGGGATTTGAATAAAGTGAGAGATCTATTTGTTTTCAGTCAGTCTCTCAGTGAATAGCCAGGAACTGCAACTGGTTTTGACCATGTGCATGAAGTTCAACTGTGCTACCATTAACCAAAAACTTCTCCCTTTGTTATCTGTTTCCTCGAAGAATCTCATGTTTTACCTAGTTTCTAGCCCATAATTAGGTAGTGGGTGCTAATGTATCTTGGGACATGCGAATCACAGAATGGTTGATATTGGAAGGGACCTCTGGAGGTCATCTGGTCCAACCCCTCAGCTCAAGCAGGGCCACCTAGAGCCCATTGCCCAGGACCATGTCCAGATGGCTTTTCAGTGTCTCCAAGGATGGAGACTCTGCAACCTCTCTGGGCAACTTGGGCCAATGTGCAGTCACCTCCGCATAATGTTTTTCCAGATGCTCCAATCCCCAGTCATCCTTGTGGCCCTGGGACGCTCGAGTCCCTTAGCCATCTTACTGACCCTTTGCTGGACTCACTTCAGTAGCTCCATCTTTCTCTGGTACGGGGGAATCCAGAAATGGACACAGTGCTTCAGGTTGTGACCTCACCAGTGCTAAGCAGAGGGGAAGGATCACCTCCATTGACCTGCTGGCAACACTCCTCCTAACGCAGCCCAGTACACCGCTAGCCTTCTTTGCCACAAGGGCACATTGCTGACTCATGTTCAACTTGGTGGCCACCATGAACCCCAGGGCCCTTTCTGCAAAGCTGCTCTCCAGCCTGTTGGATCCCAGCATGCCCTGGCGCCTGGGGTTATTCCTCCCCACGGGGCACGACTTTGCATTTCTCCCTGTTGAACTTCACGAGGCTCCTGCCAGACCATTCCCTCAGCCTGTCAAGGTCCCTCTGGATGGCAGCACAACCCGCTGGTGTACCAGCCATTTCTCCCAGCTTTGTGTCACCAGCAAACTTGCTGAGGATACCCTCTGCCCCATCATCCAGATTGTTAATGAAGATGCTGAATGGAACTGGAGCCAGTACTGAGCCCTGGGCTACAGAGCTAGTTACTGGCCTCCAACTAGACTTAGTGCTACCGAGCACCACCTTCTGGGCCTGGTTGTTAAGTTTTCAGTCCACCTCCTTGTCTGCTCATCCAGCCCATGTGAGGATCAGATTCAGAGTCTGTCGTAAGACGGTGTGAAACTGCTGGCTGCTTTCTCCAGCAAATCCAGTTCTATGCAGTTCATGTTTCCTGAAGGTCGAAAAGAATTGAGGGTATGGAGGATTTGCATTTCCTTATGTACAGGCTCATGTCTGGGACTACACATCTGAGCTCCCTGTCACCCGGAGAATGAATGGATATGTAGCTGACTTACCGAAGTATTTTATTTATTGGGAAATAGCTGTGTACATTCTGAAAAGGGGGCGGGAGGGAACCCCAAAGAACAATTTATTTTGCATGGAGCCATCCTACATCAGCGATAAGCAAGTTTCACCTGATCGATGTAAGATATCCCTCTAAAATCAGGTTAAATCTTTGATTGAAAATCTTTGATTCTTTTCTTTTAAATCACATACGGTGTTTGGATTTCTGAGAGAAAACATGGAAGAAAATTTAGTACAGCCATGGTAATATTTTTCACTAAATTTAATTCTTTCACATATAGCTGAACTTTCTCAGTTCAGCTGAAAATGTTTGCATGAAAACTAGAGTTTTGGTCTGCATAGTTCACTGGCAAAGGTAACAAACACGTGGAAGTGTTATTATAATGAAGACAGGGTCTTAAGTTCCTTGTAATAACCTAGTCTATAATCATAATTTAAAGATGATTGTTTTAAGTGAAATAAGACACTTTCATCTTAAGCAGTCTGTTACAGACAAGAAGGCATGCCAACATAGATTTGATTTCTTAGTGGTGTTGGAAGTTTCACAGTTGCTTTAACAAATATTTAGAGTTCTTAAATATTCTTATAAATATGCTTCTTAAGTCTGATAGTTTTTCCTTCACTTTCAGCTGAAACACTAACAAATGTCTTGGATTTCAAAAGAGATGCTGGCCTTTGGCATGGCGTATTAACAGTAAGTATTTGAATGAATGAAAAAGACTGCAGCAAGTTGCTTCTTTCAGGGGTAGAGTATTGGTATCAGAATGAGGTCAAACTCTCTCAAACTATTTATATTTCAGTACTTGTATTTTTCAGAATAAAATGTTACTTTTTCAGTAACAGCACAGGCATAGTTTATGTTTTTACTGACTATGCACATAGTTTTCATTAACAGTTAAATGTAAGAGTTATGCTGTAGCTGTGATGATTTTTTTTTTAAAGTATTGTTATATGCTGTGTATTCTTTGAGCCGCTTGAAATTTTATTTTTTACTACTTTTCTCACAGAGTGTTATGAACAGGATGCATGTCATCAGTATTCCCTATGCATTAATGAAGGTTAATCCACTTTCCTGGATACAGAAAGTCTGCTCATACAAAGGTAACCTTCAAGTATTTTCATTTAACCTGTCTCTTTTTGTATAATTTAAAACCAAAATTAAATACATTTCTTTCTATAAAATGTCTGCTATAGCTGAGGCCACTGCTCTTTTATCCACCCAACTTTCTTCGCCACGGCTTTAGCAATTGGGTACTTCATTTCAGTATTATATGTACTTATAGATTCATTGCGTGATGTTGATGGCTTCTCCTGATAGATCTTTAAAGAAACTGTTTCTCATCTCAGTATTTGAATTTAGAATAAACATTTACATTCTATAGTCAAGTCCATCTGGATAGTTTGAGTATACATGCATTTATGCAGGAGTTAAATACTTGGCATTTGTACTTCTTTTCTATGTTTGTAATTTGTTTAATAATTTTATGGAAATACACAGAAGTATTTATATAATTTTCTAACTGGTTGTTATTTTGTTCTGCACACCTACCATAATGTTGGGGGGTTTTTTTTTATTATTTTTTATTTTATTTTCAGCCCGTGTAGCGGTAGTAAAATCACGTGATATGCACTGGTCACTTTTGGCTCAGAGGGATCAGAGAGATGTCAGTCTGAGCTCTTTACGAATGTTAATAGTGGCAGATGGAGCTAATCCATGTGAGTATGGATGCATTTTCTGAGTGTGTGTCCAAGGTGAGCTAAAGCACACTGTAAATCACAGAACTCTGGGTTTGCACTGTAGGAACTCGTCAGCCCTATAGTTCATCTTCAGCAAAACAGAGACAGCAGCAGTATTTCTTTGCCAAGGACACTGGAGCAAAACTGTCATAGAAAATGTTCTGAAGGATATATTCTTCATATAAAGAATAGTTGGCAATGTAATTTGAAAGAGGCTTTTAAAATTTCGAGTAAATCATAATGTCAGTTTTGAGGTAGTTGCTTGTGTATTGCATGTAGACATGAAATCTCTGAGTTGAAGTGTGTCCGATTCTGCATGTGCCCCAAGGGCTTGTCTCAGTTATGTGCAAGGACATAAAAATGGGAGCAGTCACAGCCTTAACTCAAAACCATGACAACTGTTAACTAGAGTATGCGGTAGGTTCTTGCCTTTTCTGTCAATCATGTGGTGGTGGTTTACAGTAATTGGAGAAGGCAGCTGGGAGGTTTCTTTTGCAACAGGCAAGAATATACCTTAGTTGCTTAATTTCTCTGTTCTCATACACTAGAAAATCAACAGTATTTCAGATTTGTTGGAGTTGCATGATGAGAGGTCAGCAAATCGTGATGGCAGAAGCTGAAAGCTTCAAATGGTCTTGCTAAGACTATATTGGTTGTAAGCGCTGTTTCAGAGCTGATGCTTAGAAAATCAGGCAGTTCACTCTACAGTAAAATACTATTTGTATGCTAGTGATGCCACTGCTTTTTCCTTGCTGTTTGCACTTCTTAGCTATATTTAGCTGTGTAAATTCATTTTTTCAACTTCATCTTTTCATCAGTGCTGTACTCTTATATGAATTGACATGAAATTATACCTAGGATGTAGTATAATCAGTGAAGTTTGCTGGTTTGCATTATGTGCTGCAGTTCCACAACTGTAAAATACAAAGCTGTGTAAGTGATACAAAAAAAAGTGATATAAAAAATATAAAGCTGTGTAAGTGATGAGGTACCCTCGTGCATTTTGGGCTGAGTGCTAAAGGCCAGGTACAGTTCTGAAGTGAATATATGTCAGAAGCATTTGATGCTAGTTTCTAAATGCTTTGGACTGTGACCTCTGTAAGAAACACTCATACAGGAGCTATACAGGAAGCCAACAGGTACAGTTACCGTTAGTGACAAAATATTCTGATCCCTGAAGGACTTTCCATGATGTTAAGCGTTATGGAGTGCTGCCAGAGAGAGTTGTGAATTTCATTCAGTGAATCAGTTGTTAACCACTGGGAGTTTTTTCTCCAAGTCTAATATCTAGTAATAGGCTGGAATGTCTTTTAGGCAGTTTGAAAGTATATTGTTTTTGTGCGTGGATGAAACCATATTTGTATAGCTGAGCTGAGAGTAAGCATAGATTTTTGAAATCCTGCTGCTCAAGCTTTCCTGCCCTTGACAAAATGTTTCCAATTGTGTGTTTTTTCTTTTTAGGGTCAATATCTTCCTGTGATGCATTCCTGAATGTATTTCAGTCCAGAGGTTTGAGACCAGAAGTAATCTGTCCCTGTGCTAGTTCTTCGGAGGCACTAACTGTTGCCATTCGCAGGTAATTCTCTTTTCTGAGAAGTGAACTGAAGCATTTCTTGACTATTGAAATATATCTGGTGTTAAAACAGTAGTCAGAAAAGATGATTGCCCACATAAAGATACCCAAAGACCTAGACAGAGTAAGTCTGAGGCTTGCAGGTATCTCCTTCACTGAAGGATGGACGATTTTTGGTTTTTTTCTTTAAAAAGTTTTATATTTTCTAAAAGTAGTCAGCCATAAAGTTGGTTTTGCCTTTTTTTTTTTTTTAAACTGCGAGGTCTCATCCTCACTGATGTTGCTGGAGGACCTTTATAAAATGCCCCAAAAATCAAGACTGTTACTTATTTGGGAGGAAGAAGATGCTGAATCGTCAAGTAATTGCTTATATACAATGTCTTGTATACAGTGGGCTAAAGAAAGAAAAACAGTATTTGTAACTAGTCTGAAAAATAGCATTGAATTTCTGGAGATAATTTATCAATAGATATATGGATGGAATATGCTGGAATTTTTTGACAGTTGTTTTGATCAAAATGTGGTTTTTTGGAAAATCAATTTCAAGAAAACTTGAAACAAAAAGTTTGAGATTTTGGAGAGTACTTTCTCTGGTGGTAGAACTGACATTTCCCAATTAAAAAAAAAAAAAAAATCAACCACTTAAAGAACTGTTTTTTACAACAGCACCTCGAATCTTTTGCTCTGTTCCATACTGAAACTTGAGAAGTTACACAAAATGGAGTCATTGGTCCCCAATCAATTATGCTCAGAGTAAGAAGTGTTAAACCCTGCAAACACTTCCTAATTTTTCCTTGTGTTTACAAAATTTAGCTTGTGAATGCTTATTCTTGACACTTCTTTGCCATAATAGAATTAAAGCTTCTCTGTAACATTTTAGAGTGGGAAGAAGCTATGTGATGTTTTGTTCTAGCTTTTTTTTCATCTAGTTAAGAGCACCACTTTTGAACTCTTTGTTTTTTTAAAATGAGAAACCATTATTTCTCCTTACCTTAACAAGCCTCAGAGACTTGCAGAATGTTTTTGATGACCATATTGCTGTTGGTCTGTTGATTTGACTTTCTGTTTTTCAGACCCCCAGAATTGGGTGGGCCTCCTCCAGGAAAAGCGGTGTTATCTATGAATTGTCTGAGTTTCAGCGTGATAAGAGTGGATACAGAAGAGAAGTTGTCAGTGTTAACTGTCCAGGATGTTGGTCAGATTATGCCTGGAGGTAGGAAAGCATTTCATGTTGGTTTAAGCATACTCCGCATAAGTTATCTTTACTATTATACTTGTGCTGATGAAATAAATAAAAACGTTAAATGATAAATACCTTCAAGGTAGTACAAATTCTGTTTTGACGCATTACCTAAACATATGACATTAACTACTGTCTCAATGAGATTACTCAATGTTTTCAGTAGAGATTAATCAACGATAAATTTCAATGACCATAGGTTTTGGTATGGGCAGATGCTTTTGGCTGGTATGCAGAGTTGTGGTGTTGTTGTTGTACGCTTATTAGCATTAGTGCTGAGTAACATACAGCTATGTCATAACAAATACAGCAGAAGAAAATGTGAAGTGTAGTAAGAAATACTATCTTTCATCTAGGAGTGATAGTCCACATGTTAGCATAAATTAGAATAGAATATTTCAGTTGGAAGGGACCTACAGTGATCGTCTAGTCCAACTGCCTGACCACTTCAGGGCTGACCACAAGTTAAAGCATGGTATTAAGGGCATTGTCCAAATGCCTCTTAAACACTGACTGGCTTGGGGCATCGACCACCTCTCTAGAAAGCCTGTTCCAGTGTTTGACCACCCTCTCGGTAAAGAAAAGTTTCCTAATGTCAAATCTGAAGCATTCCAATGCATCCTGTCCCTGGGTCCCAGGAAGAAGAGCTCAGCACCTCTCCCTTCACTTCCCCTCCTACGGAAGTTGTAGAGAGCAATGAGGTTGTCCCTCAGCCTCCTTTTCTCCAAACTAGACAAACGCAAAGTCCTTAGCCACTCCTCAGAAGATGTGTCTTCTAGCCCTGTCACCAGCTTTGTTGCCCTCCTCTGGACACATTCACATACTGGGGATCACAGAGACGTGGTGGGATACAGTCCTTTTGGGAAGGGCAGGGAGAACAGTTTTTTTTTTATGTGAGGGAACAGTTAAAATGCATGGAGCTCACCTGAGGATGGATGAGGAGCCATAAGTAAGGATTAAAGAGCAGACCAGTATGGGTGACATTGTGGGTGTCTGCTATAGACTGGCTGACCAGGAAGAACAAGTGCATGAGGCCTTCTGCAGACAACTAGAAACAGCCTCATGTTTGTAGGCCCTGGTCCTCACGGGGGACTTCAGCCACCTCAGTGTATGCTTGAGGGACAACATGACAGGACATAAGCAATCCAGGAAGTTCCTGGAGAGCATCAGTGACAGATTCCTGACCCAAGTGATAAAGGAGCCAATGAAGAGAGGGTCTTTGCTGGACCTTGTACTCACAAATGAGGAGGCACTCATTGGGGATATGAAGGTTGAAGGCTACAGTGACCATGAGATAGTAGAGTTCAGGATGCTGAGAGGATGGAAGAGGGCAAAAGCAAGATCACAACACTGCACTTCAGGAGCGCAGACTTCGGTCTCTTCAGGGATCAGCTTGGTAGAGTCCCATGAGATAAGGCCCTGGAAGGGAGAGGGGTCCAAGAAAGCTGGTTAATATTCAAGGATCACCTCCTCCAAGATCAAGAGCAGTTCATCCCAAAGGGTGGGAAGTTGGGCAAAAATGCCAGGAGTCCTGCGTGGATGAACTAGGAGCTCTTGACAGAAATCATACGTAATAAGGAAGTATGCAGAAGGTGGAAGCAGGGGCAGGTAACCTGAAAGGAATACAGAGACACTGTCTGAGCATGCAGAAATGGGGTAAGGAAAGCCAAAGCCCAGTTGGAGTTGAATCAGGGTAGGAATGTTAAAGACAACAAAGAAGGGCTTCTATAAATACGTAGGTGACAAAACAAAGACCAGGTGAAATGTGGGCCTGCTGCTGAATGAGGCTGAGGACCCAGTGACACAGGACATGGAAAAAGCTGAGATACTGAATGCCTTCTTCACCTCAGTCTTTATCATCCTGACTGCCTTTCAGAAGGCCCCGGAGACCTGGGGGAAAGACCTAGAAGAGATGAAGTTAAGGAATACTTAAGCAAACAGCACATGCACATATCCATGGGCCCTGCTGGGATTCACCCATGAATGCTAAGGGAGCTGTTTGATGTCATTGTGAGGCCACTATCAACAATCTTTCAATAACCATGATGACTGGGAGAAGTGCCTGAGGACTTGAGGAAAGCAAATGTCACTCCTGTCTTTAAGAAGGGCAAGAAGAAGAATCCAGGGAACTACAGGCTAGTCAGCGTGACCTCAAAACCTGGGAAGGTAATGGAACAACTAATTCTGGAAACACTCTTAGGCACCTGGAGGACAAGAAAGTCATCAAGAATAGTCAGCATGGATTCACCAAGGAGAAGTCATGCTTGACTAACCTGATTGCCTTCTACAATGACGTGACTGGCTTGGTGGATGAGGGGAGAGCAGTGGATATTGTCTACCTTCACTTTGGTCAGGTTTTGGACACTGTCTCCTGTAAGGTCCTCGCAGAGAAGCTGATGAAATGTGGGCTAGATGAGCAGACAAGGAGGTGGACTGAAAACTTAACAACCAGGCCCAGAAGGTGGTGCTCGGTAGCACTAAGTCTAGTTGGAGGCCAGTAACTAGCTCTGTAGCCCAGGGCTCAGTACTGGCTCCAGTTCCATTCAGCATCTTCATTAACAATCTGGATGATGGGGCAGAGGGTATCCTCAGCAAGTTTGCTGGTGACACAAAGCTGGGAGAAATGGCTGGTACACCAGCGGGTTGTGCTGCCATCCAGAGGGACCTTGACAGGCTGAGGGAATGGTCTGGCAGGAGCCTCGTGAAGTTCAACAGGGAGAAATGCAAAGTCGTGCCCCGTGGGGAGGAATAACCCCAGGCGCCAGGGCATGCTGGGATCCAACAGGCTGGAGAGCAGCTTTGCAGAAAGGGCCCTGGGGTTCATGGTGGCCACCAAGTTGAACATGAGTCAGCAATGTGCCCTTGTGGCAAAGAAGGCTAACGGTGTACTGGGCTGCGTTAGGAGGAGTGTTGCCAGCAGGTCAATGGAGGTGATCCTTCCCCTCTGCTTAGCACTGGTGAGGTCACAACCTGAAGCACTGTGTCCATTTCTAGATTCCCCCGTACCAGAGAAAGATGGAGCTACTGAAGTGAGTCCAGCAAAGGGTCAGTAAGATGGCTAAGGGACTCGAGCGTCCCAGCGTATGAGGAGAAGCTGAGAGAGCTGGGACTGTTCCGCCTGGAAAAGAGAAGGCTCAGGGTGGGATCTCATCAACATTTACAAATATCAGAAGGGAGATTATAGAGAAGACTGAGTCAGGCTCTTCTCAGTGGTGTCCCATGACAGGACAAGAGCCAGTGGACACAAACTGAAACACATGAGTTTCCCTCTGAACAGAAGGAAAAACATTTTCCACTGTGAGGGTGACTGAGAACTGGAATGGGTTGCCCAGAGAGGTTGTGGAGTCTCCATCCTTGGAGACACTGAAAAGGCATCTGGACGTAGTCCTGGGCAGCTGGCTCTAGGTGGCTCTGCTTGATCTGAGGGGTTGGACCAGATGACCTCCTGTTAGTCCATTCCAACCTCAACCATCCTGAGAGTCCCAGACTCTTGGATATCCCAGCAAACTGGTCAGTCCTGGATTAACCTCAGTTTCTCAATGATACCTGTTTGCAACACTGTGCTTCCTAAAGTAGGTAGATATGGGTATTGTTCCCCAGCCCGTTCAGTGGATTGAAGCGAAGAGACTTCGTCTCTTCCCTGCTGTTCTCTTTTGAGGCTAGGCTGATGAGTCATGCATTATTTGGAGAGGAGAGCACTCTGAAGAAGATTAGTAAAGATAGGGTGCCAAACCAGACCTTAGACTGTGGACAGTGACTGGGATCTGTGTCCTGAAAGATCACTTAGTGCCCTCCACTCCAGAAGCGAAGACTGCAACGTTTAGGTTCGTAGTGTAACATTGCCTGGCACTGTCTGTCTGAGGGTACCACTAGCTTTCAGACCCTGTCCTGACCTGGTCTCAGTGTGCTTGGAGAGTATGAGATGCAGATTTCCTTGAATTCTCCTTACCCCTTCATTTTCTTTCAATTCTCCTTACCCCTTCATTTTCTTTGAATTCCCCTTACCCCTTCACGTTTACTATGTAGTAACCAAAGGACCTGATTCGTTCTGGTCATGCCCTTGGCACCTGTGGATTTTCTATTCTTGGTCCCATTACGAATCTCATGCCTTGCTGAGCTGTAGTTCCAAAGCCTTTCTCTCTGTAGAGCATTTATACAAGGTAAAGATGAAGGGGAAAGTCATCTTGTGCTATTTTAGCAACCACCTCTTCTCTGTACATCGAGGCCCTCATTATAAGTAAGAGGAGGCAGACACCGTTCCAGTCTGCTGATGAAAAATTTCAGCCATTGTGTAGCAAGTGGCACTGGTCTTGTTTCATTTTCCTCATTACTCCCAGAAGCACTTTGCAATCAGTAAGGTTTGTGGTTCAGTTATTCTTACTGAACTTAAATTCATGTTCAGAGCCTTCTCCTGCTACCAATGGAAAACTGAGCAGCTCTGTGGTTCATACCAAAATAAAGGGAAAGGAACCCTTCCTGTGGGGATTCATGTCTGACCTGCTTATTTTAACTTCAGAAGATTGAACATCTCTATTCTGACCTTCTAGGTAGATAGGCAAGATATTCAAAATGTTCTTCTGGGATCAAGGGCTTTGTGGCCAGCAGGAGGGTTTTAATACATTCCAGATATGTCCATAGAGCTGTATGCATTCTGCAGATCCTGTTAGAGTTCAGTGTGCCAGGCACCCTCAGGCAGGTGGTATCTGGGTGGGTCTATGAAAGATGTTTTTGTCCTCTTTGCTCTGCCAATTACCATTATATCACCATCTTTCTTCTGCTTTTGATCCTTGACCGTACTATATTATCACAGATCTGAGTCAAGATAGGTAGGCTAGGTAATTTACAGCAAAATAACTTCTGTTTCATCTTAACACTCTAGGAAGTAAGGTTGTAAAGGAAGGCCAATGTGAATTCAGCCATCAAGGATAATGACTATGCATTGCTGCATGGCCTCAATGTGAAAACATGAGTGCGGGGCGGGGGGGGGAAGAGTAATAATCTGACTTAATGGCTTATGAATTGCTTCATTTGAATGTTCGAATTCAGGTTGTTAAACTTGTCTGCAAAGACCCAGAAGACAGCCAGATTTGACTGACTTCTGTGTCTCAACAGAATTGTTATTTTTCCACTTCAACTGGAATACAGGTGGCATGGACTACTGCTGTCTCATTCGGCTGCTCACACTGCTGATGTTTCCTTGAAACCCACTGAAATTTAGCTGCACTCCCAGTCTTCTATTTAGATTATGGGTTAGTCACAGGAACATGGAGGGAGTAGGTTTACATGCCCTTCAGGTAGTCATGGAATCTTTGGTGAACTGACTGAGGTTGAACTGGATGTTGATCTACTTTTTTACAGTTCAAAAAAGTGGTATTTGATGCAGGATCAATTAAAATCTTTCTTTGGATCAATTTATCACATGGAGATCTTGGCTTTGCTGTAGGCTTGCTCTCTGGGCAGAGTGTACTTCACTACACAAAGGCACAAAGGCGCCTACAGTTGTTTTGCACCTTAAGCTACTCTTCATATTAAACCATTACAGCTGTAAGTCCACTTGGTTAATCTTCCGTAGTACGTTTCCTCAGTGGCAGGTTCAAGTCTGCCTTATGATGTTGGAAGAATTACCTGCATATTTGTGGGTAAGTAATTTCACCTTCCTCTTCTATGTAAGTCATTAATGAAAAACATGTCCCTGTCTTTGTGAAATGCTTAATTGGGTAGCAAGAGGGATCTTTGACAAAACCTTTGTCAAATGCCTTGGAGCATTGTCTGGCAAATCTAATGGACTCTTCTGGTTTAGGATGCCATTGACAGACCATTGACAACACTACCACGACTTTGTACATTAGTAAGAAACGTGGAGCGCCTTATCTGATTGTGTGAGGGAAGAACAATTAAGTCTGTATCCATTTAGTGCCTCAAAGTGATATGACTTGTAATTGATGCCTATTGCTGTTTTAAAATATAGTAGTAAGTGGCAAAACTACTTGTAGGTTGAGCAGAAGTTGGGCAACTTAATTCATTGACTGTTTTAAAACTCTGATCAGCATTG